TTGTGTTGTGGACTGTAATTGAAAGTAGTTTCAGGCACACTCTGGATCTTCCACATAACTTCCAGCTAGGTACAAGACCTTATATGCCAGCTCAAAGACACAGGTAACCAAAAATCTCCTGTCCATGTTATGTTCAGCATCAAAAACTGAGGAAACACTAAAATAATTGAATACAAACATCTGGTGATCATTGTTTAGAGATTCTGTGACCTGTGGATTGCATAATTTTTAGAAGATTCCAGCAAACCAAAATAAGAATAGGTATTCATGGTATACACTGATTCTGGGACATACGCACCACTTTGTTTTGCTGGATGTGTGTCCATGTAGTCAGTGTCATAAAAGTAGTTACTATAGCGTAAAAGCAGTTTGATTAAATGGAAAACTAGGCTTTATTTCCTCATTTAAGAAGTTTCAGGATTGAGTTATAAAGACTATCTATACATTTGTAATTTGCATCAGGGTTTCGTTTCATTTAGGCTTTTACACTTAAGGGGAAAAATTGAGAATTAGAGACTAAAATCACCACAGTAGCAGTGTATGAATAGAGCTCAGGTTGATGCAGGAGAGAGCAGGATATTGCCTAGCTGATTCCTGCCATATCCCACAAAAGATAAACCCTTAATCATATCCTTCATTAGCATCAAGTGTGGAAAAAATCAGCTCATGCCAGGGATTACTTAGCAAATGTAGTTAGTGGGAGAAATTATGCATTGAAGAAAATACAAAATCCCTCGTATTAATCTTTGAAATACATGGAGTTTGACTCTTCTCTGTCTTACACCAGAATAAATGAAGAATAATTCCATTTCAGTGGTTTAGATAAACTAGTGTAGTTGGAGAGGAAATTGAGCTTTCCTACTCTCCCAGGATTTTAAAAGATTTACTTTTTTAAGGCAAGATTGTTTATCCTTAAAATCTGTACTTCTACATTCAGAGGAAGAATCATGGCCCTGTGTCACAGAGTAGAACCCTTTGACACACGATCTCTACCTGTTTAAATCCAGACTGGAGTCTATGCCATCGTGTGGGTTCGGTACCTTTGGCTTCACTTAGCCACTGGCTTTAGTATTTGCGGTTTAAAGGAAGCCAAAGTGGATAATACGCGTTAAGTGTTAAGTGTTTGGTGAATCTCTGAACTGTACCTTTGTTTATGTTGTCCCTTTTACGATGTTAAATTATTCTTGCTTGAAGATTAAAATACCAACTTTGTCATTAATTTAGGTTGGCAGAGCAGAAGAAT